AAAATGCCGAAAGATGGACTCAGATGGACTTGTGGGCTCAATTTTGCTGAGGACCATATGCTACCTCTACAGACTGAGGACGAAATACCGAGCAGTTGTGTAGTTAGCAATGGCAGGTGACCCTAAAGATACAGCAGTCCAGCAGAGATGGTCTCGTCCTCTGTGAGCACACACACTCACTCGCTGGCTCTCACCCCCTCGCTCACTCACAATGCCGGGCAAATGTAGCTGCTCTGGAAGGCTTAGGAGGTCTCCTACGTCGGCAGCTATGTATGTACGAATCTGTGTATCTTTCTTTCTATCTATCTATCAATCTGTCTATCTAGGAGTGTATGTATTGATCCTGAGCTCTTTCCCTTTCCCTTTCCCTTCACACAACATTGTCTCAAAGTCATCTTCTCCTGCAGAATTTCTTTCTGTAAACTTTGGGATTGGAGATGCCATGTGTCGTCATTTCTCTGTATAAGCAGCTAGAAGAACTAATGTGACCCTCTCACAGTTGGAAGCACTAAATCAAGTTGGGTTACATGTTTACTTCCTTTTCGATTTTTGAATAACAAAACATTCAAATAACATGTGATAATTATGGTACCCACACTCTAATGTTCTTGGACCATGAGACATTCCATTGTGTTCATACTTTTTTGTTTCTGTTGTTAACAGATGAAAATATCCAATTTTTTTGTTTAATCATCATTGGTTCTTTATTTCAGATGAATTCATTTCTTCTTTAATAGTTAATAAAGGTTCGGTATTGTATACCTCAGGAGTAAAAAGTAGTCATGATTCTTTGACACCTGAATATTGCACATTAAAATTTTGAAAAAACTGAATAAAAGAACTGGAGGTGTAAATCTTTCAATTAAACATGACAGCATTGTTTCCTCTCCCCCCCCTTTTTTTAAATTTTTTTATTCCCAAATTCTCAGTTTCTTTTCCTCAAATTGATGGTATCTTTCTGGGAACAATTGAGAATGGAGTAAAGATGTGATAAAGTAATATAACAACACCATAGTATATTGAATGTGAGTTACACATTATTCAATGGGTTTGACATAAATTATAAGAAAAATATGGTAATATGAGTATGAGCATTAGAGAGTAGCATTGTTTGTTACTTTATTTACATAGGTAATACATGATACAGAATACTATGACATATGAAATCTGTTCCAAACATAAAATATTTGATTAAATATTTGATTAAATATTTAAAAATATATTTGATAAAACATATACTTGATATTTGATATATATTTGATAAAATATTTGACAAAATACATTTGATACTAAAATATATATTATATTAACATAAAATATTTGATAAAATATTCCAAACATAAAATATTTGGCACATGACATCTATTCCAAACATAAAACATAAAATATAGATTGTGCCATAGGAACAGTCCTAAAAGAATTATTTTTATACTTTTTTGTTGAAATTTTCTCAGAAGAAATATTCAAAAACTTTAGCTATTGATTGAGATGTTTAAGGTGGTTATTAGTTTTATTTTTTAAGAAATTATTTCATACTAAATTTTTTGGAGTGAACTTTGGATAGAACATGCCCACAGGTAACAGTGTTATCATTATTAATAGGATGCTAATCCTTCATCACCAAATAATTGGGTAGGAATTATTCTAAATATATAAATAGTATATGTTTATGTTTAACATATAATTCAATTCATTACTTGTTCCATGTATTATAGATATTCTTTTCCAGTGTAAAATCAAGGATATACTTAGTGTCTGTGTATATAAATAAACAGACAATTAAACATTGATGAATGATTTTTTTGGTTTAATTCAAGCAGTAAAAAGAGTTGGTCAATAATATCGTCTCTTAATACTAGTGATCCACAGAACTATCGGAAATAATAAAAATATTTTTTAAAAATTATTTACTTCTTATTCACAGAATTGTTTACATTTTATCATTACCGTGTCAAATTAAAGGATGAGATTTATGTCAATATTTTAGTACGACAAATCTGGATTCTTAGCATTTTTACACTGAGAAAATTCGAGATTCAGTTATATAGATTTTTGTATGAAGCATATTCAAAAAGCATTACAAAAGAGAGAAAAAAAAAAAAAAAAAAAAAAAAAAAAACAATAATACCAACTGGAAAGAGTAGAGCAAAATCTTATTCTTCACTGTTACTTGTCCAAGCAAGATACTGGATATCATGATTGTGATCCTAGCTCTTCATTTTTGCTTTGCAGTTAATGTGTAAGTTTCTAAAGAGATCTTTTTTAGTTTGTTTACTTTTCATGCTTTTTTATTATATTATATTATATCTTTTTCTCCATCTTAGCTTAGCTTTTTTGTTTACATCAGACCTTTTTGGAAAGCAATAATATGCAAGTAGAGAAAGAGAGAGAGAGCATCAAAAGCATGAAGGTTCAAGTGGAAGTAGAGCCAAAAAGAGGATAAAGTTTTCATGTACAGAAGCAAAGTGAAAGTTTTGTTTTTATTTTATTTTATTTCTATTGTCCTTCTTCTTCCTTCATTCATCCACAAAGAGATATTTTAGTGGTGACCCAATTTGACAAATAAACAAGAAGGTTTAGATGAGCATCACATGAAAGTGGCAAACTTTGACATGGTCCCACTCAAACATTGGCTCTCAAAGTCCTACTTTCTACAAGTCAAACCAACCCTTGAAGCCAAAGGAAGGAAGGAGGCTCAATGAATGAAGAGCAGGTAGTGTGGATGAATGCAGATGCAGAAAACATTCATCCTCTGTTGCCCCAGCCCCCACTCACTCACTCACAGCTGTCTGTGTTGTCCACATCATCAACAAAGACTTTGTCACAGAGCCTTCCTTCTGGAATACAGTGGCAATTGCACATGGGGCTTATATTCTGAAGAATGGGAATGCAGTTAATTTCTTTCAATGTCTCTCACTCATGTGTGGGTTATTGTGCTTCTTTCTTTCCATCATTGTTGCACTCATGTGGGCATGTTGTTGCAGTAAATGGCTAGATCCTTTTGTCACTATTTCAATCTTGAGTAAAATATTTGTACAATGTGCTCTTTTCTTATTCTAGATTACACACAAAAAACCCTATTCTGCAAGCCCTTATTACACACAGCTTCTTCCCTGGTAAGGTTCTTCAGCACCAGTCTGAACTGTAGCATACCCTGCATCTATGTGCTTAATGAATGGTGTTGAACATATTTAATCAACAACCAAATTCTTTGTGGACCCAACTTTGACATACATATACCAGTAAATAAAAAGTAAGGTTACATTTTGTCACTTGTCATACTGCTAATGCTGGTACTCAAAAAGTCTTGTGAGCAGTGTTTGTGGTGTGATTTGGGGTTTAAATGTAAGATCTTATGGAATTATGGCATGTTTGCCTAATTTTACAGTGTTGAGGTGACTCAATATTTTGGGTTGTAATGAATAAAACAACCTTTCTTAGAATGAGCACCAATAGACATTTTTGTTAGTGATGGTGTCCATCTGGCCAAACAGATTTCTGTTAAACATAGGGGTGTCTCATCTGTTATGTCAAATTCCACTAACCAACACTTCTTTGTTAATTACACTTTTCTTGGAGTTGCCTTCCTCATTGATACAGTTTTTGCCAATCAAGTGTGCAAGAATGTACTTACATCCTACATTTACTCTTATTTGAATATGGTTGTTTGCATCAGCAAACCAGCCAATTGTTGATTATCCAACAATATACTATATGGGTGTTTATTGTTATTATCACACACTCTCTCATGTTCTCTTCATCAGTATCAATGTCAAAGTGCAATGAATGAGTTGGCTGTTACCCTCATTGTGCACATGTGTTACACAGTGTGGGCTTGTATTTTTAATTAACTAACAAACTTGCCAAACAAGGCGAATGCCCAAGGCTTATCCCCTGAGGCATTGCCATCTGTTCCAGAGCACTTAATGTGGTAATCTGAAAGTTGGGCTTGATGAAGTGGAAAGGAGACTTGCTCTCATCCTGTACAATTTGTAAATTGCAGGCCATCCCTTTCTTGGTGACAAAGCTTCTGTCAACATACAGAAAGACATTCCTAATATCCACAATGCTTAAGTTATATCATGCAATAGCAGACCAGGACTTAGTCCAAGTGTGCATCAGGCTTGAGCTGAGCTAGCAGCTAACTGACCCTGCCTCAGATCTTACTGAAGAAAAGTTTTCAAAAATATCAAGATCTAGAAAATAGAAGAACAGTCTAAGAGTGGGAATATCGGTATCCCAACCTAGTCTGGAGGATTGGAAGGTATTTTGAAACTCATACTCACATATGTGAAGTGATTTGCACTTGTATTTATAGTTACATTTGCATTTACATCTTCTATTATGTTGTTTGTAGGGAGGGGCAAGGGGGAAAGGGGGGGGGGGGTGTAGATACCATCATCATCCACATCATCCACATCATCTGGTTCCCTTGGTGCATAGCCCAAGTCATGGCAAAGATAAGTTTTGGTGGAACCCTTGTCATCCACAAAGTCAGCCATGGGTGCCATGGCTAAGCTTGCCCAGAGACTTGGTTGGGTGACCCAGATTTTGCAGACAAAGAAAGATCAAGCACCCCCTTCTTCTCTGCTGCCCCCCCCATTGGCCCACCCCCACCCCCTTGCAAGTTGCTGCCAATCATTCAAAACTTGGAAGGGTTGGACTTGGCTTGGCTTTGTCCCTCCTTGCCTTCACCCTCTCAAAGTCCCCTCCCCCCCTCATTGTGAGTGACTGCCAATTATATATCACTGTAGAAAGTATCCACACACACACACACACACAATATGTGCTGCAAGCCTGCTGCTACAATTCAACCAATCCAAGCGAACTGTCTTACCTCCATTCCCAGTGTGCAAGACGAAGAGGAAGACTGTTCCCCTGAGCCCCACCCCCCCCCCCTATTTTGCAAACACAGGGACATAGTTTGCACTGTAACCTTTTTCACTTCATCCATGCATGTAAGCAATTGTTGGGTGTTCCTAAAATATTGACAATTGGGGTACAAAAGACACAAAATTAAGGTGTTATTTACTTATAAAGATTAAAATTTTACCAGGTATCAACTAGATCTTTCATTAGGGCCCTTCTTCCTCCCTCCATTCAACTCCTGCAGCCTGCCCTGGGTCCCTCACTGCCCATGCCTGTTCCTGGTGGGAAGTTTCAGCCATTCCCTCATGCTCCTCTCCCCTGTTTATAGCCCAAGACAGGTTCAAACACCACTCCCACTGTGACCCATTTGCAGGATGCCATGTTCTACTAAGATGGATATTTCTCCAAGACTTTCCCCTATTATTAGCCCCACATTCTGCACACAAAAATTCTGCACTTTCATGCCTCACCAGTTATTGAAATGTGCAGTAGACATCCACAAAGGTCCCCAATAATGTTCAACAGTTTGACAGACAATGTTTTATACTCTCTCATTAATTCTTGTGTGGTGATTTTCCATGCACTTTCAGACAGCATGAATTTGTAAAGAGCATTATTGTCATGAAAAGAAAAGAAAAGCATTTAAAAAAATCTTCCTATTGGGGCTTTCAGTGCACTATTATATTAATTTCATCAGATTTCCAAATTGAGATAGGGTTGCTTTAGAAATCATTGAGAGATTGATAAACAAAACTGTTGTCGAAGCTCAAGATCCCAGAACAAAACAACAGAACCATGGGAGGAAGTTATGAAGACAAATAAGAATCAGTGCAGAGTACTTTGTGAAAAAGAAGGGTTTTCATTCATGGTATGAAATCTATGGGGACAATATGGGCAATATATATTGTGGACTAATAAAAAGGACTATTATTTGAGAGTGGATCCTGGCGAAGGCACCAGTTCACTGTTACCTCAGGAAGCCCAGAGCCAACGAGGACAGGTGCCGGCATGATTCGAGCGATGGGAGCGACGAAGGGACGGGCGAACGAACGTAGATTGCGATGCTCTGACTGGGCAGTGACCATAAGGGCAGAAAATAGCCGAACAGAAGGAGGAGGCAACGCGGACGGCTTCGGTCGTCGTCGTGGTGGCAGGACTTGGGCAGGGTGGGCGCAGACATCGAAAGAGATGCCGCGATCGTTTCGCGGGATAGGGGTCCAATGCCCGACCTCATATGCTTGAATTCCGCAACCGAATGATCTGCTCTGTTCTGCTTCATTAAAAGTAGAGAATCGCATGATCAAGATTGCAACGGCCGCCGCTTTGTCTCTCGCACGCTCATCGACTGCCACCCATTCTCGTTGCCCGATCCTCGCTTCTCATATCAACCACCCGTATTCGATACCCCCTCACTTGTAAATGCATATTCTAGCGCCGAACGGTCTGTGTGACGAAACCTCCTCAGCAACCGAGCCATTGCCAGGGTTGCCCCCCTGCCAGGCAACGCATTGCTTCATCCACAGAATCGACGCCGCGTGGTTAGCGAGATTCACGCTACAGGACGAATATATCTGATTGACGGGGCTGTGCGGCGACTGACCAGTATTGTATTGTTGTGCATGCCCAGTGGGTTCAGGAAAATCAAATTAGGATAGAATTAACTTAGCTGGATGTTGTAAGCGGTGGTGCATGTTGCTGAGCGCAGCTGCCAGAGAATTATCACCTTATCGCTTGGTGGCAGTGATCATGCACTAGGCTGGTAACTGCGGTCAGATTCTTCAGAGCTGCTGCTTCTGTAGCTGATCGAGCAAGGGTTCTTAGAGTTGCATGTTGTAGATGCCTATAGGGGGCTCCAAGGTGGCAGGACAGGAATAACGTACTTGGAAAGGAAAATAGTATAAGTGTGAGGCTGCCTTTCTGTTTGCGTGAAGGCGGCCTGAGTGGGACCGGGATGTGCTGCGTCAAGGATGGGATTAGGCTTGTATTTCAGCCTTACCCGTGAATTGCTAGTGGATTGCTGTATGGGCCAGTAGGCTATACCGGCCACCAGTTTGCACGCTGCTGCCGTTCTGTTACATGGTAAGATTAATAGGATCCTTATCCTGCTCCTGGCGTCACATGTCTGTGACCTACTCCGATTGCGACGATTGCGTCCATCATGGCGCTGCATCACCAGTCATCCACAGGCGTATTCTCTGCTGTGATTGGATTCTTGCCACCAATGGATGTTGTAAGTTAGATGTGCGTAGTGAACCGAGTCCTACATGAACACTCTAGTGTCCTTCAGTAAGTTAACAATATTGAAGGAGTAGGAGTAATAATAGTAGTTGAAGAAGCAACCGATGCGGCACTAATCGTAGGCGTGGTCGCAGAAGAATCTGTCGACGTGAAGTGTATTCGTGTCATTGGGCCCGCCGCTTGACTAACCAACATGTAAACATGTCGGTGTGTGTCGTTTGAGTGTGCAGCATGGGGGGCTAAGCTTACAGTTACTTTGCTTTGATTAAGCTATGTTTCTGCACCTTGCGCTGTTGCTTCCGTGGACCTGCGGTGGTGTGCCGCTCTGTGTGAACAAGTCAGAGTTGAATACCGAAAGCTCAGCTTGGGTGTTTTAGGCCAATTTCAGGGCTTGACCCCCTTCTTGACCGATTGTAAATGCCAAGAGCAGCAGCATACACTGCTGAGTGAGGTTCTGGTTTAGATCGATCATCGACTTGGGGGTGTTGTGAAGAGCAGGGCGAATTAGTTTGTTTGATGGCAGAGGAAATTTGTTTATTGACGACGATGCTAGAGATTCGTGGCATGCCGAAGGGGCAAATGTTGATCGCCATGAAAGGGCATCCGGGATGTGGGAAGACGACGGTGTCGCGCGGCATAGCCAAGGCGTTACATTGCCCGGTGGTAGACAAGGATGACATCCGCGATTGTAGCATGGATCTGGAATGCCCATGTGTGTTGTCGTGCACGTGCGAGAGCAAGCAGCTCAATTTCACCTCGCACAAGCTCAATACGCTGTCTTACGTGGCGATGTGGAAGATCGTGGAGACACAGCTAGAGCTGGGGCTGTCCGTCGTTGTAGACTGCCCTCTCGAGCGGCAGGGTCTGTTTGACAGAGCCGCGGGCCTGTCCGCGAGGTTTGGGGCTTTGCTTGTGATTGTGGAGTGTTACTCCGGGAACAATTTGATATGGAAGGAGCGGCTTGAGAGACGGGCTGAACTGGGCATGTCAGATTCTCAAACTTTCGTAACTCGACCTAGTCTAGGGTAACCTGCTCTATCCCCTATATTCCAATCTGCTCTACATGGTCATATATCTGTCTTCGTTGTATGCCCCAAAAGAACGCCAGTCCTTGTCTTTTCCGGTCATTTCAAAGCTGAGGTGAATTCGTGCCAATCCAGAATGACACGCACAGTGACGGATTCTTCTACGTCGAGCAACTTGAGTGGCTGATTGCATAATTGTATCGTAGGGATGATGAGGATTTTTATCATGTGGAGCACGAGAAACCCGCTCGAATGTCCGTGGATGCCAACGACCTCCCTCAATTAGCTGCTCGAAAACTTGGTGCCGAGACCAACACTCGGAAAGTATGTCCATTCAGCTTAACTCTAGTTTGAAAGCGATTTGCGTTTCTCAACCTAAACTGTACTGCTCTATTCAGTCACATGTTTTTAGACGAATTTTGATTTGAAAGCCCTTGCTGAACGTTCTAATTCAGTATAAACTTTGCGCCATCAGGAACGACCTGTATGGTTCTCGAATCAATCTGTATTGTAATGAACTTGGCATTAACTATAGATCCAGCTCAATCGCAAGATCACGTCGTTATACTAGGCCTAGGTAAGGATCGTAATTTATTGTTGGGGGAATGATTTGTCCTCAACTCGAAGTATCTGAGGAAAGTGTTGAATTTTGATGGGCAGGTTGTATTGGATGTTGGATTTGGCGGGCCAACAGCACCCCCTGAGAAAAGGTGGCACAAGCCAGCGCAATGGTCAGACATTGAGAAGATTTTAGAAAAGTATGCCGGGTGCTTCGAGTACAGTATGGGTTCCACGAAGAAGATCATGGTGGACACAACCGCTTGTTCCACTGAAGATGCTGTGGATGGAGTTTTGCGGTGGCTATCAAACTTGGAGAGTAGCACAGAATTGTTGACGTTTTTTCCATCCGATGCTAAATATGATTCATATTCTTCTCGTATCTAGTATGAAGCTTTAGTGTGCTAGATGATGGTTACAAATTTCTGGGGTCTAAACTCTCTCTACCTACACATAGACAGGAGGTCTTCATGGAGTGCCAGACTTGGGCATTCGATTAGGGACAATTCTTGCAACCTACTGCACTGGATTTGTGTGCAAACATTTTAGAATCAGTTGAAAACTCTACCAGATATTTCATCGTGACCAACAAGCTATAAGTGGATGGTTGGATTTTGGACTCATTTGTCTCCAAAGTCTGATTTTGATATAGTGCCTTCAGAAACTCTACAAACGCTCTTAAAGATAATAATAATCAGTATCTTATTATCATTCCAGATCCATGCTGCAATCGCGGATGTCATCCTTGTCTACCACCGGGCAATGTAACGCCTTGGCTATGCCGCGCGACACCGTCGACTTCCCACATCCCGGATGCCGTTTCATGGCGATCAACATTTGCCCCTTCGGCATGCCACGAATCTCTAGCATCGTCGTCAATAAACAAATTTCCTCTGCCATCAAACAAACTAATTGGCCCTGCTCTTCACAACACCCCCAAGTCGATGATCGATCTAAACCAGAACCTCACTCAGCAGTGTATGCTGCTGCTCTTGGCATTTACAATCGGTCAAGAAGGGGGTCAAGCCCTGAAATTGGCCTAAAACACCCAAGCTGAGCTTTCGGTATTCAACTCTGACTTGTTCACACAGAGCGGCACACCACCGCAGGTCCACGGAAGCAACAGCGCAAGGTGCAGAAACATAGCTTAATCAAAGCAAAGTAACTGTAAGCTTAGCCCCCCATGCTGCACACTCAAACGACACACACCGACATGTTTACATGTTGGTTAGTCAAGCGGCGGGCCCAATGACACGAATACACTTCACGTCGACAGATTCTTCTGCGACCACGCCTACTACTATTACGACTGCTACTCCTACTACTCCTACAACAGTGGTTAAGAAGTAAGCTACTACATATCCTCTTTGCTCTGTTTACTCTCTTCTATATCACAGTTAATATTTGATCATCAGTACCACCAGTCAACATAGTAGCGTTTTTGTTTTTTGTTTTTTTTAATAATAAGAAGAAATAAATTGTGGTTTGTCGCATGTGAAGATGGACAAGACATGTAGTCTCCATCTTCATAGTACAAACAAATCTGTAAGCATGAGATGTGCGGTTACAAGGCCAATCACAGCCCATCGTGGCTCCCCGTCAAGTGCTCCACACCTCCACTAGTAGGCCTATCAATTTTATGTACGTCACACGTCAGGTTTAACAAAACGTCAGCAGTTTGAAGTGGATATCCTGCAGTGTTTAGAGAGCTCTTTGAAATCACATATTTGTTACTTTGTCATTGTTTTGTGGAATGAACCAGATCCTGAGCAAGACAAGCTGTGAAGTACTTACATTCCCACCGGTACCTTCATGGAATCATAGAAGAACCATTGGGCAGTAACCAGCGGACCCACAAGCATCACACGCAATGGCAAGCTTCTTGTGAAGAGTCCCACGGTTCCTATGCTCCTCGCAGCCTGTGATAATTAGACCAAACACAAACAGTTATGTCCATTGTAACCTGGAAAATAAATGTCAGTGATCATAAGTCGTCAAGCATATATCTAAGAATCTCACATCAAGTGATTAAAACTCAGAATGAAACCCTAACTGCACGTAGGATAAACCTTTTCTGTTGTTGATGATTGTGATCATGTCCTCTGGGTTGGAGATTGTGGTTCCCATCACCCCAGACATGTACCCAGCCACGCAGGTAACTCCTGGCTGCACGCCTTTTGAGCATTCGTTCTTAAGTTAATGAATAACACGTCTATAAATGAAAACCGAATGCTAAATGTCGAGAACATGAGCATTGCAACTGCATTCATACAATTCATCACAGGTCAGTTGGCTCTCATCGACCCTGCTTCATCAAGGACGTTTCTATCCACAAGGAAGAGAAGGCGACAGCCAAGCAAACAATCAAACCACGTGCCACGGTTCCATAATGTAAGAACTTGGGTAAGTTTAGCAGAATGTTCACTGACAAGGTAAGTTGCGTCCCCAGAGTGACAAAAGTTCCCTTGTACAATCTGAGCAGCACCAAAACACCAGATTCAGAACAGCAGATGAAACGGTTCAAGGTCACATTTTGTGGAAACAATCAATCGTATTACATAGATCACCTAAAGAGTAGTGCAATTCCTGAAATATGACGCAGCCCCATTGGTACTCAACCTAATATTGTGCATGTGAAGAGGGCAGGGAAGCAGGTTCCTCACCCAGTAAATCCCTCGGAACAGTACAAGCGAGGGAGTCCATCAGTTAACCCTTTAGCATAGCCCCTCTGGACCCTTACTTTGATTGACTCAAACGGGCATAGTGCTGTATCAGCTATGATCTGTGCAGATAAGCTGCTGGCCGCATAAATTGAAGTTTTGTTTGCTCTAATATAATATGAGCCAGCAACACCACTATAAAATCTCTTGAAGTACTCGTATAGACAAAATTTACAAGCCCCTTGAAAACTAAAGCCATAAAGCTTACTCCCCCATCCCTTCCATATACCTTTCAATCCCTGCTCTCTGTACACTATACCAAAACTTGACAGAACCGATGTATATTTTTCGGGATTTGCCTGCACAGGACGTACAATCTAAGTGGCATGAATGAACATTATAGTTGAATGTCAAATTTTGTGATTCAACAGTAGCTCCAGCAACAATCTAGTGTAGCATGGGTAAACATAAAATTCTCTTCGAGGGGTACAGAGAAGGATCTTTAGAGAATTTATGATACCTGCATGTTGACTTTAAGCATGTCGAAAGGAGTGACAAGTAAATGCACGGAGCCTGTGGAAATCATACCACTAAATGCACATGCTGCGTAATAGTTAGTCGAAAAGGGTTCTAGTTCCTTGGTCGCCCATGTTTGCTCCATACTTGATCAGCCTACTCTATTCTCCGTGTCCAGCAGTCGTCGTTGACAGTCCGTATCTCCTCGATCTCGAATTCTATTAACTAGTTTTGCTCTATTGTAATCCATCGGAGTTAAGAATTTCCTTCTTGTTAAATGGTCGGAGGGGAATCCAGTTCTGTTTCTTCAATCCAGTGTAGAGCCACAACTACATTCGCGCTGGCTCATAGTCGTCTGATTATAACCAACTGATCTTGTTCTTACAGAATGTATCCATTTCACCCTAGAGACTTGGCCGCTGATTTTGAAATCTGGGTGGCCAAATCGTAATCCGCAAACCCCCAAAAACCTGAGGAGCTGACCCTCGTTCGATAATATTTGATTGCCGGGCATTCAGAAAGTCGATAAATAGCCCGTCAACGCTCTCATTTCTACAGCGTATATGCTGGTTCTTTAGCCAGGAATTTTGCCTTATTATCCAACCGTATTATGAATACGAAAAGTAATCTTAAGTGATTCACAAATTATTCATCTTTTAATTGGAAGAGCTTGGCACAGGAAAACTGATGGAGGAAACTAGTGCAGAGTAAATGAACCCTTCGCTCAAATTTTAGTGGGCACTACTAGCACCAGTGTGTCCCTGTCAATGAAAAAATCGTAATATACAAACCAATATATGATGATAGCTAAAACAATTCCCCAAACGGGACTCGCAGACTGAAATCACGAGCTTGAAAAATGCCAGTGGATGGTGGGACAACACAAAGTGCAACTGGCCTCACACAGGCATCCAAAATAAAAGATTGCTGCCCAGATGCAAATCAAGTGAATATCGGAAACAAACTTAGAAAACAAAAGTAAAGTGACTGGTTGTCTGCATAGACAAGGAGTACTTAACTTGCAAGAGCTGCAGAAGGGCGTGAAGACAAAAAATGGAAGAGAATGAGATGGAAAGAGGACCAGAATCACGTCAAGATGACTGCGAAGTTATTCCAGAGAGAGCTAAATACGAATGTTGCTAGGCGTATGACTCATTCATACAATACATCCATAATTCTTTCGAGTCTCATCATGCTAGTGTGAGTAGGTCTTAAACAAGTCCTTAGAAGGCAAGGAGCCGCCACTAGAAACTCGAATCATTCGTTTCCTTGTGTGGAATGTGTTGATGTTGCCACCCACTCTCTCTGAAGTGCAGATGTGGCAGCAGTCTCAAAGACAGTTGATGAGGAGAGTCAACACCAGGCACATCGATTGCCAAAAAGTTCAGTTTTGTTGAGAATGTTTAGAAAGACACAAGAGTAATAGTAAGTAATACACACACACAAGAATAGTAGTAAGTCATACATACAAGAAGGTTTCTAAGGAGAGAGAGCTTCACACATACAAATCTATTGATCTGGTTATGTCTCGTGTACAAGAAGAGAAAGGAGAGAGGATAAAGAGTTCTTCTCCACTAGACTCTAAATATTGTAGTTGTGGTATTTACTGTAGTCTATAGTAAATATTATGGAAAGCACTGGCTACATTTAATTCTCTCAATACTCTTTGTTCATCATAATATTTACATAATATAAAATTTGTATAGAATTATGATCTATACTTTTTTATGAACTTGCAAGATCAATAATTGTTGCCTCATTAAAATCTTATCTAGGAAAACCTTATTGTATTTAAGGACAAAACCATAGATGAAGGAAAAAGAGTAAAACATTATTTTTTTTAATTATTTAAAGAGCTCATTAACTTCTTATTCAAGAAAAGAAAGTCACTGCATACCAATGCCATAAGTAAGTCGACGATGGTTGCACAATGGAAGAGCTTTGGTGAAGTGTTAGGAACATAGTCCTTACAACCTTCTACAGACAAGTTTCTAGAACCTTCTAGAAGCAAGTCTTTGGAACCTTCTAGAAGCTTCCTAGTTGATGGAAGTTGCTTGAGAAGCTTCCTAGTTGGTAGAAGATGTTAGGGACATAGTCCTTAAAACCTTCTAGAGACAAGTTTCTAGAACCTTCTAGAAGCAAGTCTCTAGAACCTTCTAGAAGCTTCCTAGTTGGTGGAAGTTACTTGAGAAGTTTTCTAAATAGGAGTATATATTGGAATCGAGGCTGAAGAGTTCTTCAGTCTCAACAACACATCTCTTTGTCAAGGACAAGAACTCGATGAAAAATCAATTCAGATAAGTGAGCCTTCACTCAAAGAGAGGTAACAAAATATATATAAACAAGTATATATATCTTGAAAGAGAAACTGGAATGGCTATTGCCAAAAGACAAGAAAACTAGAGACCCTTGAAACTAGACTAGAAGCAAGAAAAGAGTTGACAAGAGTGAAGAAGCCTTCACTCTTGTCTCTATATATACTATCTAATTAGGGGCTATGTGGTGACGTTCTATAGGATCTCCAATAAGTGTTGA